TATCGGAATAAAGTCACAGAAAAATTGCAACACTTTTTTTTAATGAAAGTGCAGTCATCCACCAAATGATTGATTGTTATTTATGGATCTAACTATTTACGTTCAACTGCTATACAAGTACAGTTGGCGAGTTCTGAAATTCATAGAAAATAGGCTTTTCTGTGTAAATGCAATCTTTCTATGACAGACTGTACAAATAAATATTTTTCAAATAAAATTTGTTGATTAATAATTTCGGATGCCTCAAGATAAAACTTAAGAATCTCGGGAAGTGAGAATTTCGGCTCATTGAGACGAAAAACTTTTATCAACCATTTGTTTCTGTCAAGACGAAAGCTTGTGGCATACACAAAAACGTAAGGCAGTTGTAAAGGCATGTGCGGATTCCCACGTGGGTGCTCCCCGGATGTCATGTCATTCTTTCCACCGAACATTAAACAAGAATGACATGACAACCGAAGAGGAACATCCAGATAGGAATCGGAATATCAGTAAGCGAATTGGACAATCACAGTACAGAGATCGTAAAGTTATAGTAAATCAAATATATAATGATTTCTTTACATTTTATGGCCTTACGTTTTTGTATACGTCATGGGCGTAAATCTCAGTATTGGTATTTTTTTTATTTGTCTCTATCTCGTTCTCTAATTTAAAAAACATTTCTTTTCTAATTTAACCCTAAGCTGTCACATCTTTTTTTCGAAAGAACGAAATTGTTACACTGGGTGATCGTAATTCAATACAATTTTTGATGAGCTGCAGTTTAAAAACCAAGTGTCCAAAAATTTTTTTTTAATTCTGAGATAAAGTTCAAACATAGAAAAATACAGTTCAATTATAAAAAATTAATATTTTAATTATTTTTATTGAAAAAAAATTGTGTGTGTGTGTTGTGTTGATAAAAGATATTTTTTTAAATAACATTACTAAAAAATCTTAATTTTTGTAATTTTTAATATTTTAACTTGTTCAATAAGTTACCTATACTCCGTATAGTTGCGTCAATTGTGATACTACAAAGTATGAAAGGTATAGTAGTTTAGTATTATAAGGCCAATAAAATAATAAGAATTAAATTATTAAGAATTATTAAATCATGCTTTAAAGTTTAAATTAAGTTACAATTTCAAAAAGCAAAAATGACTCACCATCGCTTACAATTAAATGTGTGTGTTTACCATATTTTACTATTCATTCTGGTTGGCGTCACCAGATTTCTGTATAAACCAACTGTTTTTTCCGTGTAACAAATAAGAAAGTTGAAGATAAAAAGGGCAAAACAGCAAGTAATGAGTAATACAAATCGATTACTTCTTTTAATTGCAGGAAAGTTGATCACCTTGCAAGAAACTGCCGATCAAGAAAGGGTGGATCCCGCAAGAAATCTGACATAAAACATAAAAAGGAGTATGCCATTCATTATGTCTTTGTACAGCATCGACCTCGAAGATACATATGGATTTTGGATCGCGGAAGCACACACCATGTATGCAAGTGACGAGATTGGTTCACTAACTTTCGATTGGTTCACCAACTTTCGAAAGATGGATTCCGAGGTAATTAACACTGCAGCAGATCCGAACAAACAGAACAGAACGACTCTATGAGCAAAAGATATGGACGATATTTTTCTAAAAACGACTGTCGTCAATGCAGAAAGAGATATTGTATAATTAGAATCTTGCCACTGCACTGTACTGATTGCAGTACTGCCAGCATTACAACCAATACGATAGCAAGAATCTAATCTAGATAGCAATCTAACGAGAAAACAAGCATCGTGTGCCGCCGGCTTTATTTTTGTTAGAAGAAAATTGGAACCTATTATTAGCATACATATTAGTCATAACCTATATAAAATAAATAATACTCATCTTCACGAACAACTTCTAAATATACGAGAGTATATATCTTCATTTGTAATTTATTTTTCTACCATTATACTAAAAATTTGAAAAACGCAATATCTTATGTGATACATGAGAAAAAAACCAGGATATAAGTTAATTTTTTTTAACTAACTTACTTATATAACTAAGTTAAGTTAAAGTTAACAGCCTTGAAAATTTAGCTTACAATTAGTTAAGATAAAAGTCAATTCATAATGATATTAATTAAACTAAAAGTTAAGTTAATAACAAAAAGTAATTAAAAAGTTAAATGTTAAATTTGTTTTATTTCATGATTTCAAAGTAACTTTTTTTTAAACTAAATTAAAAAATTAAGTTAATAATCTTAGAAATTTAACTTGTTAGTTAAAATGCAAGTTAACTCATCATGGAATTAATTGAATTAAAAATTAATTTAAAAATTAAAATAAAAAAATTAATTTTTAAATGTCTTGAACTAAGCCATTGTCCCTCGGTTAACTTCGAAAAGAAGCAAATTAAAAGTTAATTATCGATAAAATGTAACTAAATTGAGTCAAAAAGTTAAAAATCTGAAATGTAATTATAAGTTAAGCTAAAATTAATTAATTTTTTGAATTTTTGTAACTTAACTCTAAATTTTTTAACTTAGCACTACTCAACTCTAATGTTAACTTTAAAAAAATCAAATTAAAAATTAATTATTACTGATAAAATGTAACTAGATAGAGTTACAAAGTTAAGAATCTAAAATGTAACTAAAAATTAAATTAAAATTAATTAATTTTTTAACTTTTTAACTTAAGCAATGAGAAATTGCCTTAACAATCGAGCTGGATCTTAGGTGCTATTATAATTTTTTTGTGTGAATTTATATATTACGTATGTAGTCTTTTAAACCGCGCGCCGAACAATTTTTCGTCTTGAAACGCTACTCTAAAAAACTACCGCAATAATATCACGAGTTAAATTATCTGCCAGTTTTAATGCTCATAGCATCTTGGATCTTAATAATGTTGACATATTAAAATCTATGAATGACATATAGGATTTATAGGATTGGGTAATACTAATTGAATCTTAATAATGTTGAAAGACATATTAAAATTCTGCAAATAATTAATTTATATATTGCGAAAAATATTACCAAGTCGGAAGTCGAACCCAGATATCTGATATTTTATGCAAACGTCTTATCACTTAGGACGTTCGCACGAAATGTTAGATATCCGGGGGTTCGACTTCCGACTTAGGTAATATTTTTCGCAATATAAATTAATTATTTGCAGAATTTTAATATGTCATTCAACATTATTAAGATTCAATTAGTATTGCCCAATCCTATAAATTACGCAAGAAAACATCTGGTGGTATCGAACATCATTCATATAATCGTAACGATTAACATAATATAAAAGAACATTCCGAGGAGGTAAAATTTACCTGAAATATTGTCTCACAGATTATATAATTTCATTTGATTTCATACAATTTCATTTGGTTACAAATAATTTTCTTCATTTTATATATGAAATTATTTGATAAAATAAATGATTTTATCTAATATATATATATATTGCACAATGACTTCTCGCGGTTGCATAAGTAATTATCGGATTATACATCGGGATTTTATATAAATTTTGTAATGATTTCGGGGACTCTGTCCCACGATTATACGATTACCTTCTCTGAATATCTTATGATTTTAGAAACATAATAAATAAATATATTAGAAAAGATTGTAGCGGACTGCACCCTTAAAACGCACACAGGATACGGAGCTGGCGGATTGTCGAGCGGCTACGGAGTTTCGTGACGTTAATGACTCAACTCTCTCAATAGGTACATTCAGTATTACAAACGTTCACTGAGCGTTCGGTGAGCTCTTATACCTCTGTACTTGGTCTATATTTCTAAGTCTAACGGAATATATGCCAATTAGATGCAAGAATTCACTGAGCGCTCAATGAATAATCGCATAGTACTAAATGTATTCAATATATTAGTTGCGTCGGATTTTTGTTTTAAAATTTTCTATTTCTATTTCTTTTTTTACTTTTAATATTCCTTCATCTTCATCTTTTTTTATCGTTTTCGATATAAAATTCATCTCACAGACACGTATTATTGCGTATATTTAAATTCTGGAAAAGAATTTTCGAATTGTAAACGAGAAAAGAGAGAGAAGTGTAATTGTTATACAAAAATTAAATGTTTAATCGATATAAAACAGATAAATGTCTTTAGGATTTTCTTTTAGTACGACTTGAGCGCAGTATTTCGATTGATTTGTGTGTAATCAAAATTTTATTAATTTATAAGAAATACCTTCATTCTCGCTGTTTTAAGTAATCATTAATATTGTTTACATCTACTTTCGGGTGAGTTTAATCCGACATATTAATCTGATATAACCGATGATATTTAACTGACTATAAAAGAAGAGTTAACAAAGAAAAAGTAGGACCGCTAGAAATGTTCGGTTGAATTCAATGAAGAAGATAAGGTGTCGAGCGAGATAACGGTCGGTGAAGTCGACGTGGTCGATGAGAGGCGAGAAAATGGGGAGAAGACGAGGACGTCGGCCAGACCGAGGACGAGGGCGAACTGGGCGAAGGCGAGGCAAACTAGCTGCAGCGCGACGAGAGGAGCGGTTGCTCCGCCCGGCTCAGGCGCGGCCGACGGCTCGCGCCTGTTATTCCGGTCTTCGTAACCGCCGTAATACGACGGCAAACTGGTGTAATCTTCCAGCTCTTAGCCACAATTCAAGGCCATTTTTACTACACGAGCGGCTCTCGCACAGCCTCGATCGCACTTTAAAGCGGACCACCCCATTAAAGTGCCACGATAGAAAAAAAAAAAAATGTATCGCTCATTGCACGGACGAGAGAATGATATAGTATTAATGCAGCAATCGCTGCATTTCAAGAAACTCCTGGGAGGACACTCGTGCAAACAAGTCGAGGAGAGACATGAAAGTGGACAATTAGTAAATGATAAAAGAGTAGGCGCGGCCGGTGTGGCGGCTGCCAGTGGTGGCTGCCAAGGACGGCAGCGGCGACGGCGCGGCGGCGGCTTGCCATATTTCCGCCTTGTATCGTGCGAAAATCAACGTTGCACACTTACCTGTTCGTTCGCGGGTCGCCTTCTCCTATTTTGCGATATTCACTCTGTGCACGTCCGTTGCTGGCAGTATCGCCTTAACACAGAATCACCGGTTTTTCGCGTACTCGCCACTCTTTAGATAGCGCCCCTCGCGTGCCAACCGAGTCCGCCATCTTCGATGAACTGCCAAATACCCCTTCTCAGGCTGGCCAACCGCTGCGCATGCTGAAGTTAACTGCGTTCTGCGCATCTCGTGCATCTCGCTGCTTACATTGGCGCGTGCGGCGGCGTCTCGCCCTTTTCTTTTCTCCCTCGTTACATAGATTTTACATCCGATTCTTTTCTTCTTCGTCGTATGAACAATTTTATTAAATTGTCTTGTTAAATGTGTTTCTTACACAAATTAGTAAAATTTTCATTACAAATCAATTAAAAGACTATCCGAATCCTATCAGAAATCCTAAAGACGCGTCTCTGTTTAAATGCTTAATTAATTCTTGTATAATAATTACTTTTCCCTTTTTTACAAATTTGAAATTCCTTTTCCAGGATTAAAATAGGATGCATTAATACGTATCTGTGAGGTGGAATTTATACCGAGAACGATAAAAAATTTCGAAATTGAGATCTTTACCATTTCTTATAGTTTAATATGGCGCTATATATTATCACTTCGTGGCAACATTTGTTTCATATAAAAGTTATTCGATACTCACACTATTTATACAAAATAGTAGTTCACAGACTAATCATTAAATAGCACGAAAAAACAATAACATGAAAATCTAAAAATTGGACTTAAACATCTAATTAAAAAATTATTGTTATATACGATAAGTTTATATACACGAGATATTGATGTAGCAGTATACCTATAGTGATATATCAATGACACATGAATCGTTAATTTGTTTTATTACTTTAGTAAAACTTTTATAATAAACGATTTACGTGTTATATTGACACATTATTATTATAGTACACACACTACTATATATCAATATCGCACGCACATACACGCAGTTTTAAGTTTTAACTATAATCATTCATATTTAACAATAAGCCTAATTCTATTTACATTGAGAAAAAACGTTGTTAAGTCAACAGGATCAATCTATTTGGCAATAATTTTATTAATTCAATTAAGTATATTAAGACAGTATTAATGAAACATATATATCATACTCTTGTTTCAATAATCAAGGTATATCTATACCTTAATTTATATGATAGTAGCAGTTGAGAATTTTTCTTACATCAATATGTAATCACATTAAAAAAATATTTTTTTTATTTTAATTGTATATGAAATAAAAAAGTCTCTTATTATTATGCAATTAAATTTTTATTTTATGCAGTTAAACTAATTTAATTTAACCAATTAAATTAAATCTATTATTAGTTTAAACGCATAAAATAAATTAATACAAATCAACGATATATAATATATATTATGTATGTAGTCAATTTTACACGAGCACGTTAAATATATAACTAAATATCACTTCAAGTTGATTAAAGTATAATTTATTTAATTTAATAATTTTTTGTATAATTTATAATCAGTATTTTATAGGCAAATAGAAATTATTTCATATCGATAACACATCTACTTAATATAATTAGAATATACTACAATTATCGATACATTTATCTAACACTCAACGATATATATAGTCAATTTCGTTACAATTAATACGAATGTATCTTGTAATTGATTAAAGTACTGATCTAAGAATTTTTTTATATAATTGTATAGATTATTTATCTATATACATATTATAGTATGTTATGTTAATTAAATATAATATAAATTAATTAAATACGTGAATCATATGCATTTGATTTATTATAGGCAAATAGAAATTGTTTTACATTAATTACAATCATCCCGTGCAGAAATTTTGGTCAAGCTTTGATATGGGCCAAATATAATCATGTCCTGCGACGCTCATAGTCATAGATATGCCCTAGTAAAGGTTTTCACCGTAAATTTAACGTCGAAAATTAAGATTGTCTGATCACAGTTTTCCTTATCAGGTCCTAATTATTATTAAATTAAGTATTATTGATAAACATCATTATATTCCAGAATATACACGACAAAATTATAATTAAAAAAAAAACATTTTTCCCTAAATGTGGAAATTATAATAATTTTGTGTTGTTATATATATATATACATATACATTGTGTTGTTATATATATATATACATATACATTGTGTTGTTATATATATATATACATATATAACGGTCATATATCCGAAAACTACACCACACATCCATTGTTTGACTTCTGCAATCCGTATAAAAATCGGTTACTTTAAGGATCCACAAACACTAAAAACGTTAGTGACTATGTATTTCTGACATATAATATTTCTGATCAATATAATCTTGATAGAAATTTATATGTAGTTTTTTTAATTGCATAATAATCATCATTAATATGACGTTGTCGAAATTTGATAATATTGAAATTAAGAGCGCTTCAAAAATCACCATCGTGCACAACTTGTTCATTTCGACATCTTGAATATCAATAAACACATGATGATATATTAAACATTCATTAAACATAGATACAAAAACGTGATATAAGAATAAAAATTTAGTATAGCAATTATAGTTAAACGTTTTAATTTTTTTATGTATGCAGTCGTATATATATATGATAATATAAGATATCCATTTTATTATATTTGCATAATACAAAACAGATTTTATTCATTGAAAATCAGTATACGAAAAAAAAGGTTTAATTTAAAGGACATATTCATATAATCGAAAAAAAAAAACTGCGTTTATTAAAAACATACATGCGATTTACAAGATTTCATTTGTAAACATTACTAAAATACTATTGTACAAATAATATTGTACAAAAATCTCTCAGATAACATAAGATTAAGATATCTATAAAAGACGCCTTTTAGATTACTTATGTAATTTAACTGTTATCTGACCTACGCCTTTAAAATGTCAAAATGGTAATACAAATCATTTACACCACAAGTTTTTATAGCTAAAATATTGTATATGATTAATAAACATATCTTATTATTTATATTTATGAAGTTAAATATTTATAATATGTATAAAAGTAGTATAATATCCTAATTAAGTAAACATTTTTTAATATGTTTGTAATTTGCGAAAAATGTTCCTTTAAATAATGTAATAAGAATTATTAATATATGTGTTTAAATGATATATCACACATGGATTTAATATCTAGGCACATATTTCGAATAGGAACAAGAAAGTATAATACACTAAGTATATTCATGGAATAAATATGTTTATAATATAAACGTGATATATTAAATGTACATGACTTAATTATAAGTAAATTAAAGTATCAGATCAGGAAAGTTTCGTCCATCTAACTGCGAGTATATATAGCTGGAATTGTCGATGTCTCTAATGTCTAAATCAAGCTTATTTTTTTAGTTTTATCATCTGTCAATAAAATTCAGTATATAAAAGTATACGATCAATAACATTGTTTCTTACTGCATCGAAAATGTCGAAATTTAAGTCAAATAAACGTCACAAAGAGTGTTAATCTTTTGCTTCAAATGGAAGAGAACTGCAGCTGAAGCTCATCGAATGGTTGTAGAAGTTTATGGTGATAATGCTCCTTCCGATAAAACATGCAGAGAATGGTTTCGATGCTTTCAAAGTGGTAAATTTAATATGGAGAACAAAGAGCGTTCTGGACAGCCAAGAGCATTTGAAGACAAAGAATTGCAGGCATTGGTGGATGAAGACCTATATCAAATGCGAAAACAACTTACAAAAGCATTAAATTGTGCTCAATCTGTTATTTCCGATCGTTTAAAAGCCTTAGGAAAGGTCTATAAGGAAGGAAAATAGGTTCCTTCATATGGGTCTTCTTAGAAAGAATGTGTCTATATGAACTGAAGTCAAAAACGACCAGAATATAAGACAAGACAGCATAAAGTGATTTTACTTCATAACAACGCTCGACATCATGTCACTAAGGCTGTTAAGGAAACATTGGAAGCACTTCGCTGAGAAGTGCTACCCCATGCGGCTTATGCACCATAGACTGTGCTCCTTCCGACTACCACTTAGTTTCGGTCGATGGTACAATCACTTGCTCAGAAACGCTTTAATTCTTATGAAGACGTCGAAAAATGGATCTCTGTCTGAAAATGAAAGCCTCCAAGGATGAGTCATTCTTTCGCCGCGGAATTCGCTTGCTGCCCGAAAGATAGGAAAAAGTCATTGCTAACGATGGACAATATTTTGATTGATATACTTTTTCATTTAGTTTTTTCAATAAAATCATACTTTTTGCAAAAAACGGACGGAACTTTCCAATTGACCTAATATATTTCAATAAAAAACATGATAGTTACGATGTACGTTTAAATAAAATATTTACCGATTTACGGGAGATCTAAAATGTAATAGATTCAACGTATATCAGTTCCATATAATTTTGGATGCGATGATATCGCATTTATCAAATATGATTTGATCGGTTGGAAAATAACATTAAAAATCGAATGCATATATACTATATGACATTTATTAGCTGGACAGCACAACTAAAATCATCGGAATAGATAGAAGTCTAAAAGGAATTGATATATAACATAATTTACATAATAGATAGAAATCAAAAGAAATTGATATACAACGTTGATATATCTTCTGCCATATAGTAAAAAATTGGATCAAGTTCTACTTTTATCCCACGGCAAATATGCCATTATGCCTTGTGTGCTGTGCAGGAGCCATTTTATACTATTCTAGCTTTCTCGCTCTCTTGTATTAATAATAAAAGATTGAAAGCATTTTGTATTTCAAATACTAAGATTAATGATTAATGTTATTATTTAAATTATGAAATACAGAAAGAGCTTTCAATCTTTCAATTTTAAATACAAAATACATAATATTTTCATGTACACCGCTGAAACATAAAATATAAAATCTACTTTTATTGCGAAAACTATGTTTTAAATAAAAGTATTTTAAATACATGCCCAGCCCTGTCTATGCATGTCTACGCACACGCGTATAAACGGATAATTTAAAGGAGAGAAAAAATTAGATTTTTGTTTTTTGAAATATTATTTGATTTTTTGTTCATTATTTGCTATTATTTTATTAATAAAACTAAGTATAAAATTTTATTTATAGCAACTGCTCTAATATCGCTTTTTGGAATCAGTGGCACTAACCAAACTGTCGGAAAACTCCAATATTAATGTACCAAAACCTGTTTTAAGATTAAGATCCTAATTTGGTTCGAAAACTTAATCAGATAATACGAGTATATGTACTTTATATGTAAATATACTAGTTTAAAGAGATTTGGTATTTTTTTTCGATATAAATATATAAAAATAACTTTAGTTCCAACGATAATCGCAAGTGATTAAAACGATATCAAGTTCTTTTTTATTTCTGTCCACTAGGATATCCAAAATCATGGTCGCAAATGCATTCAAACATCGATATTTATATGCATGATTGAAATACATTCAAATATAATTGATAAAATAAACATTTGCATATACGATTAAAAAAAAAAATGAAACTATTCGTAATTTTACCAATTTTTTTTAATATCCTTTATATTTCGATATTCATATTGACTTCTGATTACAATTTCAAGATAACATTTTTCAAGTTGTTTTTAAAAAAACAAGAAATTTTTTACAAAAAACATTTTAAATATTACAAAAAAGCTACTTTGTACATTAAACATCAATTATTTCGCGCGAAAATCTGACGTGCTAGTAAAATTTAACTTGTGGCATCGTTTTCAGCATCCAAAAATCTGTAATACCTTATTTGATTAACAAAAATATTTTTTGTAAATTAATATTATATATCTTTATTCACAGTTTGTTGATATATCACGAAATTCATTTATCGATATCACAATTTTATCGACAATGTTGAAAATGTGATATGTAGTTTTTACATTATTTTATTAAAATGATGTTGGTGCCGTTAGCATACGACGGTTTTCGCCTATCACGAAAAAAGCTCCTGTCATGACCTCTTTCAGGATTCTCTCTGCTATTAAAGATGCTCGACGTTTATGGAAGTTTGCGTAAAGGCCGCAGCACAGACTCTTGCATAACGCATAGTGCATAAAGAAATCAACCAATGAGAATCTTTCCTTCTCTTCCATTTTACGGAAAAGAGCAATTCCAATTAGTTGATTTTCTTAGATCTTGACGGAAAAGCGGAAAGCGGAAAAGCAGTAGCCAATCAGAACTCACGTTAGAAGTAAGTAGTACAAAACTAACAGAAAGTCTACCAGAGCGAGTTCTGATTGACTACTGCTCTTCCGCTTTCTGTTTTTCCGTCAAAGTGTGAACCCGATCTTATGCAAAAATCTGTGCTGCGACTTTAGACTATTATAAGGACGTCTTCATATTGAGAATTAAGCTATATCCACACAAACTTGCAAAGCTGCATAAACGCATGCATAAAAAATCCAATCGCATTTCCCTTATAGAGATGCACGTAAAATGTGATTGGATAATTTTCATTATGCATACTTTTATGCAAGTTGTGTAGATATAGATATAAGCGGGGAGCACAGCTTTTGCATAACGCATAAAGCATGTGCATAAGGAATTTCATTGGCCCATTTTCTTATGCATGAGTCAATAGACCAATCAAATTCTTTATGTATATGGTTTATGCGTTATGCAAAAGTGTGTGTTGGGGCTCTTAGACACTAGCGCCTCTGAACTTAAGGGACAAAACTATTTACATATATGTGAATTACTGATAAGTTATCACTTGTTCGTATCATAAGATAACTAAAATTAATATTTCTACAACAGCAATATAAAACCAAATGCACAATAGATACATATAGCGCACACACATACACATATTAACATATGAAATCAATTTTAACAATTTTTAAAAATATATTTTCATTTTATTTAAAAAACTAATAAATATAATGCAAAGTGATTTCACCATTTTTATAATAAATATTTATTAACTGAATATTTTTATTATAAATTATGTTCCAAAAAATGCCAATACTAAAAATCTATAGTGCACGTAAACTATTGATTATGTTTTTTAACGAAATTTGTAGCATTAAAATGAATCGTAGTCTACAAGCATAATGGAAACGAGGCCTTAAATTTTTCTATATGCTATGATTTAATTCAAACTTTCTAAAAGTAAAGATTATTTTTCATATGAATACTACTATGTTTATAACAAATAATTGTAACAAAAATAAAAAATATAAAAAAATCCAATTACATAAGCGCAAAAGAAGTTATAATTTTTTATCAAACTCCTTTTTGTTGAATATTAAATAACGTATATTCTGTAAAATAATAATAGCTTTCCAACCTAGAGACACAGAGATAACACAATGTAACGCGTTAACTACTACATCTTTGTTATTCATCATGTTGAATAAAAATGAAATAGTGTTAGTATCGCTTATTAAAAAATTCCCTGTTACAAAATGCAAAGAGTACAATATAAATTCAATATATTTTTAAGTTTGAAAAATTTGTTTACAAAAATGTAAATTCAATGGAGTAAATAACAATAAAATCTTAAAAATTAAGTAATTAAACAATAAAATATACAGAGGCTGTATTCGGGGATCGCGCTATCAGCGCTATTTGTATCATACTATCCTTGTTTCACATCTAATAGATGATGAAGATAGAATAACACAAATAGTGCTAAATAGCATCTCCCCGAATGCAGTTAAGATTAGCAAGTATGAATATAGGTTTATTAAGAGTGCATTATATGAGATGATTTCTCTAATTGCAAGGTGTACAACACATATCGCAAGAATTTACTACATATGGTGATGGTATACAAAATCGATAAGAAGAAGCAAAATCATTGCTGTCTGAATAATTTCTGACATTTGATACGCTTCTTGTATTGGACATTTCAGAAGCACAAAAAACTCTTTGTTTGTCACAAGCTAATCTACAATACGCAGCTAGAGCTGCTTCTCTAGCTTGGTCCGTGCAGTAGAATTTTCTAAGGGCAGCATCCATATTACCCAAATCAGTTAACTTCAATAAGGCGGTGTAACCGGATTCACAAATTGGATACAATTTTGTCATGCACTCTGGTCTACCCATGCAATTCCACATCATGCATCTATCTTGTAAACCATTTCTTTTGATGCATTCACATCTATACATTATGCTTGCTCGAAAATCAAAGAATTTACATGATTTAATAGATTCCTGCAATATTTTTTATCATTCAATATATCACATGCTTCATGAATAAGTTTAACAACATGCAATTTTATAAACAATTAAAAATAATATATTTAAAGGGGTCAGGCTTTTATTAATACGAGTAAAAACATGTATAATCTTTTAGGAAGAAATAAAAAAAAAAATATTGCTAAACAGTCGTTGTCTAATGAAAATTAATATTACTCACACAGTAAGGTGGAGTACATAAAGGTAATCTCTTAGGACAATATACTATTGGTGGACGAGATGGCTCGTCCCATTCACATGGTTTCCTATAATATACAAATTTAATAAATTATACACACACATACACTCGTTTATTGGTTATGATGAATTCAAATATAATCTTTTACCTTCTATCCATTGAACTGATTAAACATTTTAATTGCGCTAGTAAATCACGTCTTCTATCACAATTTGGGTTTTTACCATCGCACGGCATTTTCTTGTGCAAATTCTATAGCACTCGATATTGGCAAATTTTCTTCTAATTAATTTCTTTTTCTTTTTCTTTTTTACATTTGTATTTTCAAAAATTACATGATACTGATATACATTAAATTTAGGAATTGTAATAAATTTAGGAATATTAGTTAAATGACTTGTTGAGTAACATATTTGTTAATTTATTATGAACATCGAGTTTCCTAGCAACTACGTTTTATCTATCAATAATTCGAATATAATGAAAAAAAATTTGTTTATATGTATAAGATTACTGTATAAGATTACATCCTGTTAGATCTGTTTTTATTCCTGCACTCTCTGAACTTATTACCAGGGAATGGAAGTAACTCGTTACTTGTAACGAAGTTACAGTTACAAGTTACTTTTTTGGTAACTTTACTGGTAACTGCGTTACTTTCTTTTTTTGGTAACTGTAACTGTAACGAGTTACATTTTTTGGGTAACGGTAACGAAATTTACAGTTACTTTTGTCGTTACTTTGCACACGATTAAACACGGTTCGATTGGATACATGCTATCTATAGCGCTTATCAATAAGACTTGAAAGCCCTTAGACATTCGGCCGTTATGATTCAGTAATTATTTTACACTTCTATCTTCTATGTAATACATAGGACATACAAATATTTCAGTTTGCTGCATATTTTACAGGTTTTAGAATTACAAAATTGTGTTTAAAAAAAATTAAAAAATAAATTAAATAATAGTAAAATGAGAAGGGCTATGAACCCAAAAAGCGAAACAGTTTAAAAGACGATGACAATAAGTGTCGAAACGTCGTTTGTTTTTATCTTGTTTTATCTATGTATTGTTCTAATATATATTTATACATTTAATTACATTGTCATCGTCGTTCTTATCGGAAATAAACTGTTTCATTTTTGGCTCGTAACTCTTCTCATTTTACTTTTATTTAATTTATTATTTGAGCCATTCTACATTGTTTTTTTTTTTTTTTAAATAAAACTATATATTTGTCGCAGTATTACATATAAAAAAAAAAAAATGCAAAAGTACATTTTTAAATTGATTTTAAAAAAGTAACGGAAAAGTAACGAAAAGTTATTTTTCAAGTAACGGTAACTGTAACGAGTTACTTTTAAAAAGCGATAACTGTAACTGTAACTAGTTACATTTTTTACTCGGTAACGAGTAACTGTAACTAGTTACTTTTAAAAAGTAACTTTCCATTCCCTGCTTATTACAGCGTGTGCATTAGTTGATCAGAGAGTGCAGGAATAAAAACAGATCTAACAGGATGTAATCTTATGCATATATATATGTATGTAAGTACATATGAATGTAATTCAGTGTGTACGTGTAATAAAATTATACATCAATTTTATTATATTAGGCAAGCTTTCAACTTTTATAATTATAGCATTATTTAAAATAAGATACGATAATATTTTCAGAATGTAATTCGTATAATTATTATGTGTAACAGAAATTTAAAAAAATAAACTCACATTTATTTTTGCATAATTAATGTCACATATCATACATATCCAATGTTAAATTTTTATAATACATTATACATAAACATTATATTGCATTACGAAGTATAATGAATAAATTTATACATATCTTTTTTAATTTTTAATAAAATGCCTTCTTCATTTAATTTCGAAATTAAAACAGTTAAATTATCCATAAAAATATTTTCAGATATTGCAAGTGCTTCCAACTCTTTCACTGAAAATATTTGTTTCTTGTCTGCAGTTACCTTTCTTTCTAGCATCTTTATAAATGTTTTTAGCTGTAAAAAGAATCAGTTAAAGATTATGAAGTACTATGTGTTATACATAAATGTAAAAATATGTATACACACACACGCACAATTTACCTTTCTGTTTGTTAATTTTTTATCAGAATGTAATTTTGGTATAACATGATCATCATCTTCTATTGTATCTGTTATTGCATATCGTAATATATCTATTACGTCCAATGCATCCGATTCAGTTGCTTCCATACGTAATTCTAGTTTTGCCCTAGCCTATAATAAAATAATGTAAATTATCTCATATATACTTTAATTTATGACATAATATAAAATATTAAACCTCAGTTAATCGAATCATAGCTTCTAATTGTCTGTTGAATATTGGTATACTATTAAATTGCTCATTTTTCGCTCGAAGTTCTAAATAATAATTTTGTAATACTGTTGCGGCTTCAACGGATAATTTTGGCTTCACATATTCTCGAGCATAGGAAATATAAGTTCGAAGAATAGATTGTGGTATAATTTCAGAGGCCAATGGCAATGTCAACTTTTTTCTGGAAATATTTATTTCATAGATAGATTTATTATTTTAATTAAAATAAAAAGAATTACGATAATATTATAGAATGGAAAATAAAGGCTCTAAACGGTCAAGCTGAATTTTTAGTATTTGCTGTATAATAATTTTATGTGAATTTATACAGGGTGTCCCATTTTAATTGACTATCTCAAATATCTCTTTAATAGTATGTATGTTCCCGTGTGTACATACATACACACGGGGACATAAATGCCTACCCAATCTGAACTTGTCGGAGTATCGGAACATATTCAACTCAAAAAAAGATCACTTAACTTTTTTTTAATGAAATCTAGAAATCATTGCTATTAATAAAAAAAATCTATTCTATTACAAAAAAACTGGAATATCACTTTTTTTATTCCTTTTTGGAGGACTGAAAATAGTGGAAATCTGTCATTTAAAATTTTTTAATATCTCAACTAGAAAAGTTTTAAAAACATTTTTTCGCTATCTTTGATGATTTCCAAAAAAAAAAAAATATTATAACAACTAAATTTTAGATTAAAATATTCTGTATAATGTACAAAATTAATATAATTATTTCTTACCTCAAAGCACATTCATTATGGAAAAATAATTTCGTAACTTCTTTATCGGAATTTGCATGTGAATTAGTATGAACAGTCATGATATGTTTACATAATAAATTATCAAAATGCTATTACATGTAAAGAAAAAGATAATTATTGTACAAAGAGTCGTATTTTAAATAGTTTAGCCAAATATCTTAAAAATTGAGCTTGATAAACAAAAATGTTTTATATAATTTTATTTAAAAATGGCATGACCTTAGAAAAGGTAATAGTAAATTTTAATAAACACCTTAATAAATCTTATTTAATTTTCTCAAAAAAATATACTGATATAATAATAGTAATGTCAATAACACATAAATCGTTTGTGTTTAAAAGTCCTACTTGCACTACGACTAATTATCTTTAGAATGCCCTTAAAAGTTGAAAAAAATTTCCATTTTTTTTATTTTTATAAAATTGTTACTATTTCAAATTTGACTTTACCAACTTTATTTTACTTTGGGCAATAATTGTATCTACATATATTTTAAGAAATTTCTTTATTTTGTTTCAGGACAATGGGAGATCTGGAATAGTGTCGCGCGACATAGCACTCTCAAAAGTACTAGATTTGTTTTATAATTACAAAGTAAAAAAATCGACTAAAATTATTTATTTAAATATATAAAATAAATGTTATAGATTTAATTAAAAATAATTTTGTACCTTATATAAATAGTAAATAGACCATACAATAAATTTTAGTTAATTGATTGTGCGGTTTCTTTAAAAATAATTCTTAAAAACCACTTAAAAACGATTTTCAACAAAGGAATACCTTAAAAATCAATTTTTTGAAAAATTAATTTTATCATTATTTATTCCTCTCTCTCCAGATCACACATTAATTTTATCTATAATAAAACATTTTTACCTTATGGTTCAGTTTTCAAAATATTCTGCAAAATTGTTTAACATAGACTATTCTGTATAAAAATTGCTTTTTATATCGCACTAGTATTTTATTGATGAATATTTACCTTATTTGGTTTATCTAATAATAAAAAAATTAAATCAAATCGTGAGAGAATAGGTTGACTTATATTCAAATTTTCAGTTACTGTTTTACTCTTATCATATTGTCCTCCAATAGGATTAGCCGCTGCTAGAATTGATATTCGTGCAGGAAGAGAACATATTATACCAGATTTTGCAACAGTAATGCTTTGTTGCTCCATTGATTCTAATAGAGCCTGAAGTAATAAACGTAAAAAAAATTTATAAAACTTTATACTGTATCAATTTAATTAAAAAAATTATGTAATTTAAAAAAATGTTAAAATTGCTGAACATTATAATTCCTATATTATAGCGTACTAAAATATGCGCAAATAAATGAATGTTATTAATGTAAGAATTGTAACGTTTAGCAATTTTAACATTTTTAGAACAATATCTATGTTATTTTACTTGATGCTGAGAGCACATTTTATCAAATTCATCAATGCAACAGCAACCTTGATCTGCTAAAACTAAAGCACCAGGTTCTAAAGCAAAATCATTTGATCCCGTTTCTTTTGTAAGAGTTACTGTTAATCCAGAGGATGTACTTGAATTGCCACAGATGTATACACCTTTTAACAATATGTACATTTCCATATAAAATATTATACTACATAAAGAAGTTTAAAAAACTATTAGTTTTCTCATATATACCTTTTGCAGATATTCGAGCACAGGCTTGTAACATCTGCGATTTGCCAAGACCAGGATCTCCAACTAACAGAACATGTATATCGTCTCGTAATTGTGTACGTTTTGCATTACCTCCAAATAAACTCAATATCAGTCCAGCTTTAACTATTTCATGACCGTATATATTAGGACATAACGAATGTACTAATAATGCAAAAAGATTTGGTTTTTTATATATATCCTGTATATAAGAAAAAACAAATTATGTCAGAATGTAAAATTAGTTTCATTTTATAATATATTTAATATACAAAAAAGTACCTGTATAGCTAAATAATTTTTTAAAGAAATTTCAGAGCTCATAGAACTTTTATTTTGATATCTAAGCTTATTATTGATAACCGTTATTGCTTTCATGTACAATGAAAATGGAGTACCAACTTGTACTTTACTCGTACCATCATCGACTCCTAGAACCTAATATGTTATATAAAAAATGTTTTTTCGATAAATGTTAAAAATAACAGACCCGTCTTCGATAATTTTGATCTTGACATATCTATATACCTTGACATATCTATTGCCAATAGGTAGGTAAGTGTATAGGTGGGATGAAAGTCACTTTGCGTAGA